TATCTCTGTCATGCTATCAATCAGAAAAAAAGGACAAGCACAGTGGATGGACCATGGTCATTGACCATAATACATAATAGCAAAATATTTTATATAACTGAAATATAACAAATAAAAAAAAACAGTTTTAAAAATATTTAAAAATGCATTCAAGTTGGCACTAAATCACAGCAAAAATGTCTAAAATGTTAAAATAGGTGGAAATGATTGATACTGAATGATTGACCAATTTAATAAAATGTTTTAATAATTTGCTAATATAATATAATGTTTTATATAACTGAAATTGTGACCAATAATTGTATTGATGCACAATATTGAAATTCTGGTCGATACCAAAAAGCCAGTAGTTCTTTTCATATTATGGCCAATAACCGTTAAATGACCAGGAAATCTGTACTAATTTGTAAAAAAAAAAAAAAAAAGTAATAAATAAACAAAATTCAAAACTTTGTAATGTACAGTAAGAAATATAGAAACATATTATTTATATACATTTATTTTTAAAATTTGCTAAAAAAAAAACAAAAAAAACTATATTATAAATATTTGTTTTTTCCCATAATCGTTCTGTCTAAAATGTAAAAATAGGTGAAAACAATTGATGCTGGTAATAAAAAAAATAAAAAAATTATTGGTTGTACTGACATCGTCCATATATAAAGTAATATTATAGCCTAACATTTTTCACTTTGCCATGATTCAGTCAGTCTGGTAATGTATAGTGGACAGTCCTGTGTTATTTCCCTCTAATTATTCTGAAATATGTAAATGTATCGTGCTATGGAACTCAAATGTGTTGCAAATGTTGTTTTATGTTGTCTTATCAAGGGTTATAAGGTCCATGGTCATTTGCTATTTGTGAGTGTATCTGTGCGTGGTTGATGTGAAGAGTACTGTACAGATGGATGTGTGGGTACAGATACACAGATTACAAATTTACATACATGCACACATGCATCAGACAGCGATGGATTTGCAGTTAGCATTCAAGCATGCTCAAACCAGCATGTAATCTTGCTTTAGGCAGAGACACATGCACAAACACACTCCATTTTTACCCACAAACACTTCACGCTTCCTCATTTCCCATGCGGCATCTATAATTATTTTCTATGATTCCGTATATTGTGCGTTTCCTCAAAGACTTACATAAATACAGCTCATTCCAAATGCATAGCCATCCCTCACTTGAACACAGATAGATTTCAAACGGATTGCCTCACACTGACATAAAGAGAAATACACACATACGCACATTCATAGACTTCAGGGCCCATTGTCTCAGTCTATATGTGCGAATGCTATGTAAATGGTCCATAGTTATTGGTTAGAGCAACACAGTGGAACTGAAAGACAAATGAGCTCCAGACAAGATGTGTCCACGACCAGAGCAGTCAAAAAACACAGGTTATGTCAGCCGTGTTTAGCCAATGTCTGTGAATGGCTTGAAAGAAAGAGTGTTCAGAGCAGAGCAGGAGCGTCTGCAGTCTTAGATCACGCAGGCGGTGAGATGGTGTCCTTTCTGTGGTAATTCATAGTCTTGTGATAAAGTGCTTTGGCTGTTTGGCTGGGAAAGAGAGCCAAAGGCTAACAGCTATGAAAGGTCAGAGCTGTTTCAGCTGGTAACAGCTTTACAGAGACAGAGGGAGAGAGCGGCGGGCGAGGGAAACAAAAAGGGAGTCGTTGAAAGAGACATGGAGACTTAGCGATGTCATGCACATTTGCAAAATGTGTGTCAAAGACTGCTTCAAAAATATCTCATCTAGGTTTTACATTCCAGCCGACTGCAAACCGTCTTTACTCGTCACCTCTCTGTCAAACTGATGGCACACGAGTGGGAGTCTCTGTGAGCTGCATTGACAGCATCCTAACGAGAATAGAGCCTCATGAAAGGACTGAACTGCTGCACTTATAGGCCATCTGTCTATCGTTTTATCTATCATTCTATTGTTCGATCTATCTGTTGTTCTATATATCATTCAATCTTGCATTCTACCTTTCTATCTTGAATTAAGTATTTCATTTATATTATTGAATATCTATCTATCTATCTATCTATCCATCTATCCATCTATCTGTCTATCTGTCTATCTGTCTGTCTGTCTGTCTGTCTGTCTGTCTGTCTATCTATCTGTCTGTCTGTCTGTCTGTCTATCATCTTATCTTTCTGTCTGTCATTCTATCTATCTATCTATCGTTCTATCAATCCACCCATCGTTCTATCTATCTATCTATCTATCGTTCTATCGTTCTATCAATCCACCCATCTTTCTGTCTATCTATCTATCTATCTATCTATTTTAAAATAACAATTACTCAATATTTATATTATTGAATTTAATAGTTACATTAATGATTTTGAATCGTTATATCATGATTTTGTTTAGGATTGCATTTAAAAATCAGAAAATTATTGATACAAAAATCACACACATGTTGACATATATCTCTTTTTATATTTATTGTATATATACATGGATGGATGGTCTATCTATCT